GATATAAAAAATCTATTTTATTTAATAATTTAAATTGTATAATATTTTTTATTAAATTATTTTGGAAAGTAATATAAGAATACTATTTTTGTATAATTTTTTATATAATTTTTACATACCACTAAATGAATTGATATATTTAATATCATGAATTTTAAATAAATAAAAAGAACTAATTATTAAAATGACACATAAAATTATAAAAAATAATAATAAATTTATTTTTAATATAAACAAACTAAAATGCCCTTTCCCCATCTTTTGAAACAATAAGTAAAACATGTACTTTACGAAAAAAAAAGGATGGACACAAAGATTTTATTAAGGGTGAATTAAGGTAATTTTTGGACACATAACTTTTTTTTTTTTTAATATATTTCAATTATTTACAAGTTAATAGAAGATGGAAGGGAAGAGTTTTTGTGGGGTTTGAAACCTGCAATTTACAAAAAAAATAAACAGGTTTAATTTTAAGGTCTAATACCACTTAACCAAAACGGACTATTCAGACACAACTTTTCTCATATTCCATAAAAAAAATAAATAATAAATAGACAATCAACCAAATGAGAAATGAAATGAAATGAAATTAGGGGGGGATGTAGATGAAGGCAAAATTATCTCATTTTGGAGTTACTATTTTTGTGGTGTACGTGTGTCCCTTGAGCCATATGTATGTATAAAGTAAAAAAAAAAAAAGGGGAAAAAGCAGAAATATGCTTCTATAGATTTTGTCAGTCTGTTCTGTACGGCCGAGAATCTTTGAAAGATTGTATGTCTCATCTCCCACCCCTCAGCCCTAGATAAGGCAAATTTTAATTGACTGGCGTTTTAGTCCTTTATATTCCTTTTTTTTCTTATTTATTTATTTATTTATTAAACCTATTAAAGTATTTTAAATGAACTTTTATGTTTTAAAATTAATTCTTTCAAGTCTAATCAAGTTGACGACCAAATTTGATAATTTAAAAATAAATTTTTTTAAGTTCTATTATTTTAGGAATATAAGTTAAAAATATAATTAATATATTTTTTAATTATTAAATTATATACAAATAAAAAATTAATATTAATTTTAACATATATATTATGTATATTAATTTAATTTGTTAACTATTAAAATTAAAGTTTATTTTTTATATAATTTAATGATTAAAAAATAAATTAAGTGCATCTTTAGAGTACAAGTTGAAGAAGCCTTTAAAAATTTAAAATCATAAAAGACATAAGTTCTTGCCATTAAAAAATAAAAAAAGTATGGTTAAGGTTACATTTTCTTTAGACAAGAAAAAAAAAAAAACAGAAAGTTGTTAAACGATTAGGACATCCATGAGTCCAATAAATTTGAGTATAAAACTTCAAAGTTAAGCAAGTGGTTTTGTTTGTTGTTGGAGAAAAAGTGTTAAGAAGGTAACAATTCAAACATTGCTGACATTATATGTTATTAAATGAACCCTAAATCTTTTTCTTTTCTTATGTTTGCAAGTCTCTCTATTAAGATAGTATAAGATATGATTGAATACAAATTTGTTATGATAAAATGGAAAAAGCTTGATCTTGGGGTCGAGCTACAATCAAGATATATGCATATTATATGTGTTCTTATTACTGTGGTGAAAATCCTTTCTATAAATATCGTATGGTTATGTTTTAATTAAACAAATTTTATTGAGTTAAAAATATATATATGTGCATATTATATATATATATATATATATATACACTCTTAAAATCCCAATATTTTGATTTTTTAATAAATGTTAAGTAGAGTGAGTTATACCCAAAATTAGTGTTTGTCTCTACTATTTAAATTTAAAGAGAACATGAACTTTGCCTCTGTGAAAGAGAGAATCTTCAAATAACGATAATAACTGCCTAACCACAACAAGCATGTTCTCTTTGGAAACAAAGGAATTCCAATAAAAAAGGTGGGACAAAGGATAAAAGGACAGTCTAGAAATTGTAAGAAACTATGATTATGGAGAAACAAAGCCTCCAAAATAAAACTTTTGAAAGTTATGTAGCCACCCAAAATGCCCAATTCATCAGTCCCTTCTTCTCATGCTCACCTTCTTTGCACCTGCCTGGCCTTTGGATCTTTTCCATTCCCATTTCACCCCCCATTTCCAAGCTGTCTCCATCTGTGTCCCACTCATCTTCTTCTTCTTCTTCTTCTTCTTCTTCTTCTTCAATGTTTCCATTGCTTTCAAACTCTTCTTCCTTTTGGACTTCAATGCTTAATCCCTCACTTTCTCTGTGGGCGGTTTCTTCTGAGTCAAAACCAGGAGCGGAATAATCTTTCCAAAGGTTCAGGCGGAGGCGGCCATTGGATCTTTCAGCCTGAAAGATAGACTTTTGTGATGTGACCTTCACGGCTTTGATGACCAGCCGCCCATCCTCGCGGTGGGGCCTGACTTGGAGAGACTCTGATCCACTTCTTGTTGTCAAGGGCGGTGGGAACTCACGGCAAATTGGTTTCTTAGCTCCTGGTACTTGACAGTGTTTCAGCTGCTCCCTCACTGGAGAATTAACCACTCCACTATCCTCTGATGAAGAAGACAATAAGAAAATGTTGTTCTCTTTGATGTCACTGCCAGTCTCATTTCCCAAATTCTCCGTGCATAATTCCACGCTTTTCTCACTTAGAGTGGACAAGGACCGCTTCATCATAGGATGAACATAAGTGTTTTCCTTCTCTGTTTTCTCTCCGGAGCTTTGGGAAGTAATGGAGAGAGCTTGGAGGAAACTCCAACCACCCATTTCAGGAGTCGGAAAATTAGTAGTTTTCCCTCTGTTTTCCTCATGAAAACAATTCCCTTCCATTTCCTCTTTGGTGTTGGATTCAAGAGAACAAGATTTGAAGGATAATTCAAGGGGTTGGGTGAAAGGAGGTCTAGGTGAAGCTAATTTGAGCCATAGAGTTCTTGACTCCACTAGCTGAGACTCAAGACATAATTGTTGACCTTGACAAGCAACCGTGGCCATAGAATTGTACGAAATTGGAAGGAAAAAGATGAGATAGAAAGGAAACAGAGGGAAGAGAATGTATTAGAGTGGTTTGAGAGAAAGGGAGAAGGGAATAATACGGAGAGGGATGCTGGACTTGGACATGAAGAGAAAGTGAGGGATGGGGGTGTGAATTTGTAGTGCACAAAAAGTGCCAGGAGGTATATTGTAGAGGTGGGGTGGAGGTCCTTTTGTGCCACTTGAATTATAGAATTCTTAATCCAACCACACACTGCAGAAGAGAATAAAGAAACACAAAAAAGTGGGGAGAAGAAAAAAAAAAAAAGTGCCCAATTCATCTACTTATTTGTGTTTTTGACTAAAATTGATAGGAAATTGAAATTGAGCATCAATGCCCCCAATGAGTGGTTTTTTTTTTTTTTTTTTTTTAACAGGTGGAAATTTGGAAAAAATAAGGAATAGGGGGTTATTATTGCAATTTGAACTCTGATCGAAACAAAAAATTAGACGCAACTTGAACTAAGGTAACTAAAGTTGTGGGTGCCAATGACTAATGTTTTAGTCAATGACAACTTAAGTTAAACTTCTTTGAACTTTAAAATAAGGAAAAAGAGATGAAAAATAAGAAAAAAATTATATAATCTATCATTATTGTACCAAAAATTGAGCATCAATTTTCCTATGAAATTGATAATGTCAAGATGTGTGCATGAATGTAGTAGTTAAAGAGAGAGACAGAAGGGGATTGGATTGCTCCAAAATTACCAGCTTTCTCTACTCCCTTCCAAGAAAAAGCCAACAAAGGGGCAGGACAGGATGGATTCTCCCATATATTTCGCGATACCATGATAGTGATTGTTTTCCCCCTTTATTTATTTTCCTTCTATGAAGCTGTAAAATAAATAAATAAATAAAATGTTAAGGATTAAGCACCAAACACATGTTGATAATATTCAAAATGGAATAAATCATATGATAATAACACCAGCACACAACCTTTGAAATTTCCAGAAATGTAATTGACACAAATGGGTATGAATCAAGCTGACGAAAGCTTCACTTTTTATACTAAAATATACCAAATAGCATCACTAAGTAAAGGGTAATTATGTCAAAAAAATCTGGTTCATGGATCTATAATTATGTTTGGACTGCCAAGTTCCAATGCCCCCACCAGCATAGACTTAAACATACACTAAACCATGGTGAGTCCCACCCTGAAATGACATTTCTCAATTTTTCTTTTTCCAATGCAGAATATGCAGCCATGTTATTCAACACAGAGCTCCACAATTAACATGTAGAAAATAAATTCCGGTACTTATTTTTGGTACCAATTATTGTTCTTCTAAACTTTTCCTTCCCACCAACCAAAACTTAAGAGAAATGCAATTTTCTTCTCATTTGAGAAATTTTACTCAACATACTTTAATTCAAAAGTACAGATTTATTTTTAACTTCTTTTTTTAATTTTTCTTTCAACTTTGTTTTGTGTTGCCATCATTTTGTAACATGACTTGTGACTTCCATTAACTTAGAAAATAGAACTTTGTCTAATTGCACCGACTAAGCTCATCCTAACATATTTAGAACTCTTCTTTAGAATTAGAACCCCTCTTTAGAAAGAAAGAAGTGATCCTCCACTAAGAGTTTGTTTGGTGTAATTTTCAAAGTGCTTTAGTTTTTTAATACTATTCATATTTCATAAATTTAAATTTTTTTCCTAAAAATTTATATTTTAAAACATTTTTTAACTTTTTTTAAAAAAATCAAAAGTTTTAAATTCAAATTTTTTATATCTTTCATTTACTTTTTTTTTTTATTTCTAAAAGTAATTTTTAAATTTTTTTCTTCAATAAAAATTTAAATTTATCACTAATAAATAATATAAAAAAAAAAATAAAAACTCTAACAAGCTGCATCAAATAGATCCTAAGTCTATCCCTACAACCCCATTTTTGTTTTGTCGGCTAACTGCTTACCTACAAGGTTAGAAACACACTCAAAATCTAACACACATTCTTTCTCTAAAAGGAATGAAGAGTAAACAAACGCAAAACCACATAATAAAGAGTGAAAAATGGAAAAATATTAAGAATCAATTAAGGGCTGCAAAGTACAGACAAAAATGGAATGCTGATCCTCTCTAGACCTAGATACCTAGATGTTTAAAACTTGAGCAGGGTTGATTAGCCCACAAAAGCTGAAATTTGGGACTTTGAGGAGGATTTATTGTTATTGGGTTTCCTAGTATGGAAAACCACAGTTTAGAAGGGCAAAACTGAAAGGATAAGGAGGTGGCTGCGGTAAACATCACAGTATGTACAGTTAGCTTTTGCACATTGCCTTTTACGGGTTTACCCATAAAGGCGATGTATGTGATTACACATGCATGAACTAGGACAGATTGCAAATTTTCTTTTTCATGTATAAGTAATGCAGGGAGCGTATGTTTTGGTTAGATATAGCAGAAGTTGTCTAATGTGCAACCAAATGTAAATGAAATGCATTTAAATATTAAGAGGAACTCCCAAAGCTATTTTTATATATTGGATCACAGTTGTTCAAACATTTCTAATGCAAGACAATAAGATAAAACACTATATCATGGAAATGCGAATAGAATGAATGAAATCTATTACATATTTATACGTTTGAGGAAGATATATTTCATGAATCTTTCATGTTTCTCTTTGTTCTCCATTTTCTTTGCATGTTTAAACAAATATTTTGGCCATTTAAAGTAAGCTTTGGTCAAGTAGGTAGGATTTAGCCTCAACTGTTTTTCTTCCCCAGAACATGGCATCTAGCTCAGCTACAGCTAGTTTATTTTACAGATTTTTTTTTTTTTTTTGCTGCAGAAATTCAGCACTACAACCTATCCAATCATCAGCATGTAACATTGAAAAAAATGGTGTCCAGCCACCAACGTATCTAAGTTGTCAAAAAATCAAACCAGTATGTCATTTCATAATAAGAATTTAGAATCATGATCTTCAACCTACTAGCTAGAAGAAAATGAGTAACATTTTAAACAAACAAAAACTAAGGAAAGAAATAGATTTCTCCCTGTTCAACAACAATCTAGCTACAGCAAAATTTTCCCTGAATTTTCATAATTAAGGTAGCCACTCCAAGTTTTATCTGGTTGGGGGTCAGTGCACTATGACAGATAAAAACACAGTTATTAATGAACCTGTGCCTATATAAATGGTCATTTTGCTATATTACATTAAAGCCAGCATTTCTGTTAAGGTGTAATATTGAGAAATGAGCATCATCCACTTTTCCAAAAGTAGAAGATTTCAATCTTAACTTTCTAGGGGTACCCTTAAACCAGTTCAAATTGCATAGTTTTCCTAATCGTTTAGGTTAGCTTGCCTAAAAAATTCTAACATTTGCAACTTGATACAATTTGGCAAAAGGAGGAATAAAGTAAACATTTTCCAATGAACTGTATCTGGATGCAACTTGTGTACATCATGGATGCATCATATGAATCTAACCTTTTGGTCTGGCAAACCAAAATATTACAAATCCTAACTGCTTAAACTTGAAAAGTCCTAAAAGGAAGAATTGAAAGCTCAATAACACATCTCGAGAATATTAAGAGTGTAAAAGGGAGTTTTAATATATCTTACTAAGCATGTGGACAGGTAGTTGATCCCAAAAGTATCCTTTCCCTTCATATCTATATGTTGAAGCTCAAATAGTAGAATGTGGTCCTAACTCCTAAAGTAGTATAGAAGCACAAAATCATGGAGATAAAAAAGACCTATTAACCTTTTGTAGCTTTAAGAGAGCATGCTTTTCTGCCCTCTCCTAGTACAAAAGATTCGTTAATCAGTGAGTTAATAATAATTATGTGTGCCGACTGAGAACAGAAAGCAAGAGCACCATGTTTGCATTAGAATCTATCTTGTTTCTTTAATTTGGCATAACTGTACACCCCAGAGAAGAGAAAATTGCATCAGAATCCATCAATATTTGTTTAGTTTTGTTTTTAAGTAATGGAGGAATACATTATCTCCTCTCAGCGTTGAGTGAAGAAGCCTAAGCCTTTGATATTCTTCACCGTAGTTCATATTTTAATCAAGACTTTAACAAGAAAGACAAGAGAATCCAGATCATGGCTTAAGTAAGCATTAAAGAGAGCATTCTCTCCCAACTTTTTGACCATGTTAGCCGCACTTTTCCTTTCCATTCTCAATTATTATCATTTTTTTAAAACTATAGAAAAAACAGGACATGCCTAGTTGTGTACGTAATCCGTGCAAACATGTTATAAAACTAATGGTCACAATCTATCTAATTAAAAGGCAACCAAAAATTTAAGCATTGAGGCCGTGAAAAATTTTGTGGTGGGAATGTAAACGTTGAGTTCAGGATTAGCTTTACAAACAATGACAAGAATTTTGCATGGATGTTCAGAAAGCTTACAAGTCAATAGCTGGACTGCTTCAAAGACAAGTTTATTTAGTTTCAACAAAGGAAGTCCCATACTAATACTTGGCTGCCTCAAGATGTGCTCCACGCTTGCCTATTATGAAATAACTGAGATTCAAATCAATAAAGGAACGAGATTGTTGCCTCAGAAAAAGGATTAGAAGTGCAACTTAGCAAGACCTATGAGTTTAATCAAGCAAAAGGACAAAATAAAAAATTGCATTGTTTTACCATTTATGCTCAATGCCAGAAGCAGAATTTACAATATTTGGATATCCCATTTTTCTTAATATTCTTGTTAATACTAATAACAAACTAGCACTTAATAACTTGCTTCTTTATGAATAGTGTAACAGAGAACTTGAAAAGATTGACACTCATTTTCTGCAGTTATATTTTTTGGGGACTTTGCCAAAACAAAAACCTATATAATTTTTCTGGTATGAAGGGTTATCTTTGTACAATTCTAGTAAATTATTTATCGAAAGAAGCAGGCAAAACTAATCATTTATTGATTTGAGTGAAAGGAATTCATTTTTTTTAAAGTAAGATCTTGTATTCAAATCTTATAAATAGAGAAATAAGTACTGAAATAACTTTCTCCCTCTTTAAAAGATTGACGTGATTCGATTCTGAATTAATTAAAATTCAATATAATGATTAAATATTAAAAAATTAATATATAAAAAAAAAAAACAAATAGAAGCAGGCAAAAATATAACGGGGTTCATGCATCTTACTTATAAATGAATCATGATGTCAACCAACAAATATGATTCCCCAGCACTGGTAAAGCTGGTTTAGAGAAATGTCATTCCTTGCTGACACTGTAAGTGCTATTAAGGAAATAGTACAATTGGATGAGTCATCATTTTCCACCATACGCATGCTTAGAAAACATTGTTGCTGACTCTAGCCGAAAGTATCACACACAAATCGGTTTAAAGCCAACTGTCGTCCCTCTACTTTAATATTTTATTCGTTCTTGTCCCTCTACTAAGGTCATGTTCGTTGTCGTCCCTCTACTCTCCAAAGAGCCAAAACGTCATCCCTCTACTTGGCTTTTTTTTGTTCGTTGTCGTCCCTCCACTAACACCGTCCATGTTGCCGTTGTTAAGGAAAGAATCAGCTTGTGAATCTGAATCTCCATTCAATTATTTCTGTACTA